TTTCAAAAGTTTTTGTCAATATCTAATCCTTAAAAAAATTTATGATGAAGAATAACATGGGCATGCCTGCGTATGCTTACATATTGGCTGACGTATGCTTAGATCCGTGGAATTCAATATTCAATTGTGCGAAGCCGAGTGTGCTTACATATTGGCCGACGTATGCATTAGCTCCCTGTGATGAACGCCGTCAACACTAGCTACGATGGATGGCATTAAGGCAAACCGAAGTGGGGCAGTCCCGATCTCTTGAACTACAGGGATTCAAGAGATTTGTGATCATTTATCGTTGTATTAACATTCAACGGTTCAAAAAAGTTTCTTAAAAAGAGTGTAAAAGTGAGTGAACCGTTGAATTTACATTCAACGGTAGGTGACCACAAATCTCTTGGACCCTTATAGTCCAAGAGATCGGGACTGCCGAAGTGGTGTCCACTCCCATTTCCATTAATTGTAAAAATATATTGCAAACAAATATTAGTTTAAATTATAGGAGGATAAAGTTTTTCACACATATTATCAATGTATCATGAAAATTTAAATATAAAATTTTAATTTATAAATCAATATTCTTTTTCACATAACTAGACTCCGTGAACATGATAAAGAGTAGAATTAAGAGTGCTACACTATGCATACCTACCATGAAGAAAACACGACAATCGCAGTCAATTGCATTTGGCTTGAATTGAAGAGCAGTAGGATGAGTTCTCGACTCTCTCGCTCATACACAAGATGTAGGCATGCATATCCTTCACACCCTCTTCTTTATAAATAAATACCACATCCACCATTCAAAATCAAACTTAGGCCAAAACAAACCATGGAACAAGGCATCTTCTTCTACACAACGTCCCTCTCTCTTACCTTCCTCATAATCTTCACTTTCCAGTTCTTTCTTAAAACAAAACGACGACATTACACAAACCTCCCACCAAACCCTTTTTCTCTCCCCATCCTAGGCCATCTCCATCTCCTCAAAGCCCCGGTCCACCGAACCTTCCACCTCCTCTCCCAAAAACACGGCCCTATTTTCTCTCTCTGGTTCGGTTCGCAGCGCGTGGTCATAGTCTCATCCCCGTCCGCTGTCCAAGAGTGTTTCACAAGAAACGACATAGCTTTGGCAAACCGTCCTTCACTGCTCCTATTCAAGCACATAGGCTACAACAGCACGACCATCTCAACCTCTCCATACGGCGACCACTGGCGCAACCTCCGGCGCATTGGCGCCATCGAGATCTTCTCCTCCGCTCGACTCAACACATTCGCAAACACACGAAAAGACGAAGTCAAACACCTCATATGCAAACTTGCACAAAACTCGGTGCATGAGTTTGCGAAGGTGGAGTTGAAGTCTATGTTCACTGAGCTAACCTTTAACATCATAATGACAATGGTGGCGGGGAAGAGGTACTATGGGGATGACGTGTCGGTGGACAAGGAAGAGGCCAAGCAGTTCAGGCAGATTATGAAGGAGGTTTTTGCTCATAGTGGGGCAGTGAACCCAGCAGATTTCTTGCCCATTTTGAATTGGATTGGGAGCAATGCTTATGAGAAGAGGGTGATGAAGTTGGCTAAGAAGACTGATTCGTTTATGCAAGGTCTGATTGATGAGCAAAGGAGTAAGGGTAAAAATGGAACTATGATCGACCATTTGCTTTCTCTGCAGGACTCACAGCCCGACTATTATACTGACCAACTCATCAAGGGCTTTATACTGGTTAGTTGAGAATTCTATCTCATGCATTATATTATAATTAATAAAGTGCTTATTTATTTATTTAAAGTTGACACTTATGTTGTTTTTTTAATCAACTAAAGCCAGTGGCGGAGCCAGGAATCGAAACACAAGGGGTCTTAGTGTAAAAGTCCCAAAAAAAAATTTAGGATGGAATCAACATATATATTCTACATATGCAAAAAAATGAAAATAAAAACTCACATTGTTATTGGAAATTAGTGCGATAAACATCTCTAATACTTCACTTACGCACTAAACACATAAA